CAAGGCTGAATGAAGAGATGAGCCCTACAGGCCTGTGCCGGAGTCATGTGCTGAAATCAGACTCTCTTTTTATTTTGCACAAATGTTTCTAGCCCTCATGGATGTGAAGAAGAAGCTTAGTAGCATGGCCTGTCTGCAACTGAAACCTGAGTTGGCATAGAGCCTGAAACAACTGCTCCATCAATAGCGACCTATTCATCTTGACTGAAAACTGCTGCTGTGCTAATGCCTGGTTAACCATGCAAAGGCAGGCCCTGATCCCGATTGCCTGTATTTATGGTGCAATGTTATTGTTGTAGCCCTGTTGGTCCCAGGATATGAGAGAAACTAGGTAGGTGAGGTAATATATTTTATTGGACCAACTTCTGTTGGTAAAAGAGTCAAGCTTTCGAGTCCACAAAGCTTTTCTTCTTCTATTTATGGTGCTCTGTGCCATATTGAGCTCTGAAGCTGAGCACAATGGGCTACATCATGTAGTTCTAACACAGCCAACATTGTCATTGGTTTAAGTGGGAGTTTTGTCTGGGGAAGACTGTAGGATTTGGCCTAGAGGATCCATCAATGCAAGGTACTGAACTTGGGAACAGAGTACAGTAGGCTAAAGCAACCTTATAAACCAGATGTGTAGTTTTAAACACTGCAGATAGGTTAATAAATAACCACAAATAAGGAATTCACTTGATGATTACCTGTTCTGTTCATTCCCTCTGGCATTGGCCACTGTCAGAAGACAGGATACTGGGCTAGATGGATCATTGGTTTGACCCAGTATGGCCATGTTCTTCTGTTCTTAAGCTCTTCCCTCCAAAGAGCAACCCTTATCATTAACCAAGAGTCCTTCTTATTCCAAATATAAGGAATCCCATTAATCATTCCCACTGCCCGTAGAGAAGAATACCCTTGTTGATGTAAGGAAACCCCAAACTCCCATTTCTGCCAAGAGTCCCTCCAAAGAAAAGTCCCAATTACTGTAGGGACACACAGCTCTCAAATTGCTAGTTCACGGCTGCGGCACACTGCGCCCGTGGCTGCGAGGTCGGAGCGGCCTACACCCCCACGCCTGTGATTGAGAAACTTATTGGCTGACCTAATCATCACCCTCGCTGCTCGCTTTCACGTGCACAAGATATGGGCTTGTTAAGTTATGTTGATGAGTATTGTATGCTCCTCCTATGCGCAAAAATTAAGCCACTCATAAGTGTTGTAAATAGAGAAGTAAGAGAATAAAAACCCCAGTGGAAAGTCCCTGAGAGGCATTTTCGGCTACCACGACCTGGCGCTCTGTCTCCTTCCTTTTTCGTCGCCACAAATTACAAACTGTCTCCCCCAAAAGAGGAACCACATTACAGCCAGGAACCACCCTCCAAAGATAGACCCCCTTCATAATCATATCCTCTACAGAGCAAACCCCATTACAGGCAAAAGTACTCTAAATAGTGTAGAATACCCAAAGAGGTAACCCCTGTCTCACACTCCGCAAAAAGGATCCATAATCCATTTCCATCCTCAAAAGATGAGCCCAACTACAACCAGTAACCCCCACTTCCATAGTACAGCCAGAAATTCTTTTTCCTGGGCATAGTAGTTTTGAAACCGGGGATGTGCCCCACTCTCCCCCTCCCCCCCCCGGTGAACATGGAATGTATTCTGGGGGAATGTGAGAAGCTGCTCTGCCCTCAGGCAGCTGAACAGCAGCGGCTGCTGACTATGCACCCAGCTCTGAAGTCAACGCCGCCACCAGCAGCAGCAGAAAAGTAAGGGTGTCAATGCCATACCATACCAACCTTACTTCTCCACTGCTGCTGGCAGTGGTGCTGCCTTCAGAGCTGGGTGCCCAGCCAGCCATCACTCCCTGATCTGCCTTTGGAGGTGCGCGGAAGTATTTGTACTTGTATGGCAGAAGGGGTGGGCGGGGATAAATGACTACAGACACAAAGAAGGCGGGTATGATCAAAAATAAGTTTCAGAACCCACTGCCTGCGTGTATCTTTAATGAGGGTCTGACACACAGGTCTGCTGGCAGGAAATGGTTCTTCATTTCCTGGCTCCAGTCAGGGTTCTGGAAGGATCTGGTAAGCAAGGATCTGGTGGACTGCAAAGACCAACAAACTGTGTGGATCTGCATCTCCTATTGCCCCATGTTTTGCATAGCCTGCTGTGGGGTGCATGGGTATACGGATGAATGTCAGGACTCATTAGAGTCAAAACTTAAACTCCATATGAGCAAGGGATAAACTGCTTTGTGTATAATGAAGTCTATGTGAGAAGCTTGCTTTCCGTCCCTTAAATAACATTGCATGCTTGGCACCAGAATTCCCTGTAATGATGAAGCCAATACCTGCCTTGTTATCAAAAGCATTTTTACAGACTGTCATTAAAGTATGTGACACAACTTTGCTCTTTAGGAATATTGGGGCGGGGGGAGTTTTTTGTTGTTGTTTTTTTTTTAGGTGAGAGGAAGAATCGATGCAAATATGAAAGGATGGCAATGAGAAAAGATGCTTAGATCTCGAATATAAACTTAGAATGTGTTAAATTCAAACATGGTGATGTGCAATATATATCTTTTTAAATGACAACGTCTTCTTCCACCCTGTTAGAGGGAGGTAAGCACCTGACCAATGGACTCTGCTTCTCCAATGTAGACAAGCATTTAAGCCCACAGCTCAATGTACATATGAGTCCTGTAACTCATTTCCTTCTCTTTCTACATGCCATCCTGTAGGCTTCCACACAGCCATGGATGGATGAACAGGACTTAATTTGGGATCTATCAATGTCTCTCACTAATGGGGCCAGAGGAGTCACTCTGGAATGCCAAAAGGAACTGAGCATATTGCCTCTGCATAACTCTGTCTCTGTGCTTGTCTTGGGACATCAAACCTAGATCTCCCAGGTGGCCAACCAAGCAGTACACTGGCCAGCCCTTACTAGGCATTTTCTGCACTTTCATGGAGTCCCTTTACTGCCAGTTGTATAAAAAGTAGAGTCTGAAACCTTACAAACCTACTTGTGATTTCATGAAGAACACTGGCGGAATAATGGCAATATCCTTCATTTTATACTCATGAATAAATTCAGTCAACTAAACTAGTGTGTTACTGACTTGCACAATGTCTCAATGCTTTAGACCATATTCTGGGGTCATTACTTTTGTATTTACTCACACTTCTAAGTCTAAAAGAATTTGCCAGAATAAGGAACTGATGAAGGATTTTAGGATTTTTCATCTGCCTTGAAAATTATCTCTTCTAATTTGTTGGTAATATTGAAGGTTTTCAAGTGGGAATCTCTTGGATGTACTTAGTTGAGCATCAAGCCAAACCAGGTTGTGTATTGTATTAATTCATGATGAGTAGGTTAGGCAGAGGTTACACAAACATAGCTGGAATATGATAGCCGCTTCTGATGTTGCACAAACAGGCATTACTGCCTTTTTCTATCCCCTCACCCACAATTAAATCAATGCAAAGACTCCTGCCGACTTCAGTGGGAGTTGGATTGATCCTTACAGGAGGCTTGTCGTATGCAGTGTTGTTGTAGCTCTGTTGATCCCAGGATATTAGACAGACATAGAGAGCTTAGAGAGCCAAAATAGTTATTCAACTGACTTAGAAAATCTGGCACTTTACTGCTTAGGCCTGGGACAGATCTCCCTTCCCTTTAAAGCCCTGAAGGCTCAAGAGTGCTGGCGAATAAACACAAAGAGCTCTCACGTCTGAAATGAATTTTTAATCATTTAAAGCAAAAGAAACTAACTTAAAACTAAACAAAAGAGATACAAATAAATAGAGCACAATTACAAATAATCAGAGAGGGCACAGAAGAGGAGGAAGTGAGAAAAGGCAAAGCATTGATTTACTCTTGGAAAATTAGACTGGTGCATAGACCCTCCTTGTACTTTTTTCTGTGCGCCATTACTTTTCTCCCCTTCATTTCAATATTTTCTGAATGGCCCGCTTGACACGTTCGATGGCACTCTGTTCTTCACTTTCCTTTGACTTTTCTGAGGAGCTGGGTTGTGTGCACTCACTGTCAAGACATTCACAACGGTCCACGTGCAGGTACTTGTGAATCACAGATTTCCCATCGGGGCATTGCAGTAGAACTTGCTTCTCGCTAGTC